CACGCCCCGGGGCGGGGCCGGGCCGGTGGGTGCGGGATAAACCATTACACCGGCCGGGGGGGCTCGGGGGGGCGGGGTCCGCAAAGGCGGCGCGGAGGCGGGGCGCTGCCCGACCCCCAGAACCGGCCAAAGCAAGGAAAAAGAGATTCCCGGGATTCAGAGATGAGGGATTGCAGCCAGCAGCGCGGCCCTTTAACCCGTGAAGAGCACGCGGTGTTTCAAGGGGCAGTTCAGACCCTACGGCAGACTGTTACGGCATAAGTCTATGTTTCATGCAATGACCTCACGTTAAATATTTCAGACCCACATTGATTAAGGTTGGATAACGCCATGAGGTGGCTACGCTTAAGTAAATGGAGTTTTCAGGTGGTTTTAATCGCCTGTGCATGGTGTTTTCACAGCCGTGGTACTGTTGCTGATTCACTCATTCCCTTGTTGATCTATTATGATAAGTTTGTAAAGACAGACATTAAAATCAGTAGAAATAGGAATTCTAGAAATAGCAGAGTCAAACGTGTACATTTATCTCGCATTTTGCACATTTAACCAGCAACCAGTGCTACTATGAATTCCTCTGTATAGCCCTGTACCAAGACAAAAGAATTGGTACTAGGTACACCTAGGTACTGTTTAGGTAATTAGATTTATAATTGAAAATAATTTTGTTTGAAGTTGTTATAGAGATGTCTAGACAAAAGTAATTTATTACCTAGAATACATTGAAGAATGTCTCAGATGTACCACAACTCGAAATTAATGAGAACTGGGGAGAATGAACTGTAAGTTTACACATCTCTGCCAAGGAACAGTGAAACTAGGTATCAGGTAATTCTGGCAGCGGGAGATTGCAACCACCGATCCAAATCACAGCCCAGACTCATGGGCCACCAACCCAAATTACACCCCAGACTCATTTCTAGAGATTTCTAAGCTTTAGTGTGCAGAATCAGAAGGAGGAGGGGAGTATGATAATGATTTCTAGGAATCCTTGTGTTTATGTATGAATACCTAATGAATATGTGTAATGAATATATAAACTGCATGATTCTTGTGCTTGGTGTGCGTTGTTGGTGAGAGCACTCCCCTGCACACCCAGCTGTCAATAAAGAAGTGTCTGCTTACCTGCATCAAATTGGTGTCGCTAAATTCTTTTATCCCGTCCTTTCGGTGACAGGATGATCCTATTTGTCTGTAGTCCTGGCACATACCAACATTTTACAAAAGTAATTTAGAAGCAACCTTGAGAACTCCTACAGCAGAACACAAGCACAGCTTTAAGTAAAAAGACCTTTGCAGCCCTTGTGGATTGAAGGCTGGGAGGACACTTTAGAGAGAGATGCATACAGACTGGGCAGTGTTTATTTCTTCTGGCCTTAGAATCACAGAACCATGTTAGAAAAGACCTTTAGATTGAGTCTAACTGTGAACCTAACACTGTCAAGTCCACCACTAAACCATATCTGTAAGTGCCACATCTACACAACTTTTAAATACTTCTGGGGATGGTGACTCAAGCACTTCCCTGGGCAGCCTGTTCCAGTGCTTGACAACCCTTTCAGTGAAGAAATTTCTCCTATTATCCAACCTAAACTTCCCGTGCTGTAACTTGAGGCCATTTGCTCTCATCTGATCACTTGTTACTTGGGAAAAAGAGACTGATACAGACCTTGAAGAACAGAAATCTCTCTCGACTGCTCTCGGACTTCTTGTTGCAACTTCATCGCTGCCTGTATGAAGAAAAACCAATAATGGACAGTAATCTGAGAGCTGTACCAGGGTAGGAAGCTTTCTCCACATCTTTAACATGGGCCCCAGGGAGGCAGCAGGCTTCCCTAAGAAGTGGGTCTGGTCAGCATATTGGGCCTTCTGTTCCCTGCAGGAGGGAGTCTCCTATGACGATGACCTGTCTTTTTTTTCCTTTATGGAAGCAGTTTTGACGCAGGGCATAGGCTGACTGAACCTCAGTGACACCTCCAAGCTAGATGAGCCATCATCCTTGTTACTGTTCAGTTCCACTTGCAGAGCCTCGTACCTGTTACACAGGGCACCTGGGGAGGTGAGGCAGTGACTGAGATGCTCCCATTGCGCCAGGCAGGAACTTGCCACCGCTGCCCCCTGTCCCTGAAGTGACTGCATTCAGCCAGGCAGAGGGAGGATGGGGAAACTTCTGTGCTGTGTGTCCTGCCTGCTCTCGGGCCTGTCCCAGGAAAGGTTGGGCACCTTGCTGCTTCTTCTCAGACACTGAACGTAGCTATCACAGTAACAATGGCAAAGGTGGTGAAGTTACATCTAGGTAAAGTGATTTTATCTCCACAAGCAGCAAGCATTCATATTTTAAAAGGCATTAGATTATATCTGGAATGTAACATAACCTTCAGATTTCTGCAGGTTTGGTATTCAACATGTGATATGGCAGGAATTAGAAGGGGATGTTTCTTCCATTGTAGAACCAGGTTAGTTTTCTTCCTTATTTCAAGAGGCATTTTTCTTGCTTTTCAGACCAGCAAACATGTCAACTGTTGTCAGATTAAGGTTAAAACAATCAGCAAAGAGATATAATATTCTTAATAAAATTTGACAGTAGTGAAATATAAAGCACAGGAAATAACAGTTCTGAAATTAAGCAAGCTGTTTGTTTTTTGTTTTTTTATAGAATTCAGTTTCTAAGATATGCAGTTACCATGCAGAGTATTTAATTATGTATTATATTTCTGCTTGTTCAGATGCAGTCTGCATGTTCTGATGCAGCTCTACAGGAAACTGTGTTTTCAGCATACTACAATCCCTATCATGACATCTCAACTGAAACCCTAAAAATGACAAAAAAGTGCCTCCTGCTTCAGTTCACAGGAGCAACATGCAAGAGGAGAAAGCTCACAGTCTGGATAGTCATCCTTTTCTCCTCTAATAAAAAGCCCCAGCTGATTTAATTAAGTCCATTTCTTCCCAGCACACTTAGGTAATACTCATTCATCCTATACTTTCTGGTCATAAATTTTCTGCTATAAAAAGGTAAGCTCTGAAGAATTACAGGCTTTGTAAGAGCTATTGTCACCTATGGCCATAGTAGCTCTCACTTGCCATAGAAGCTGTCACAATTTAGCATTGATTCTAATAATGCAGTTTCTTCTAATCACATCTCACCTGTGTTATGAACTGAAATAATCTGTTGCACTGGCCCAGATGGCCTCCTAATTTCGGCTACTTGATTACTGCCTGCAGCCCACAATTAACTTCTTTTCACTATCCATATGTTCATTGCCTCTTCTAAAAAAAAAAAAAAAAAAAAAAAAAAAAATTACTACTGTACAACAGCTATGGTAACAAAAGTTCAGAAAACCAGAGCAGAATTATGGTATCGGGATACAGAAAACAGAATTTTAAACTTAAAACTTCTGGATCATACATGGTTTTCATCTCTGGATCAGCCTCACCTTTCTCACAGGTAGCAGAAAGCCAGCAAACCTTGGCTTTGGTTACTTGACAGAAATGCAGTTATTCTTTCATACCAGATCTAGCTCATACAAGGTAAATGCACAGTCAGTGTAAATACATTACTGAGCTCTGAAAACAATACCAAAAATTCTGCAGGTTTCACCAGTAAACCTACTGCAGATGGGGCCTTAGTCCGAAATACTTCTATAGTATTTAGGGATATGAGACTATTTGAAAAGCTGCAATTAGTTTTTTATTCTTTTTTCCTCTGTGTATTTGCTTAGTAAGGTTGCAACAACCACTGCAGTTCTCAAGAATCTCTGCTCTCTGGCTCAAAGACCAGACAACTAAAGAGCAGTAAGGGAAAATTTAACTGTCAGCTAAGCAGGTGCAAAGCAGCCCTGGAGTAGGTATTTGACAGATTAAAGAACATAAAAATGTCTTCTAATGAACCTGATATTATGGGTGAAGTGAACCTCATATTTATTATTATGTCAGTCTGCATTTGACTAACACTTGAAAGATCAGCAATGAAACGTGTTTAATGGATGTCAGAAACAGCAAACAAGTTTTTTTTAATTTTTGTGTGTTTTTTTTTTTGTTTGTTTGTTTTTTACTTTGAGCAACTTAACACAAAAGCAGCTACCAAAGTCCAACAACAGTTTTGGAGAGACATATTGACAGGTGGTGTCTTATTTTGATTCTTTTTATGAAGATACTTCATGCATAGCAAGGTTGAAGGTTATGCTGAGAGGGGAATTTGCATCTTTGCTGTAGAAACGAAGCATGGTTTCACAAACTACAACTTTCTCATGTAACTATTTACAGAAATGAAAGATGCCTGCTGCTCTGACTTGTGTTTCCATTCAGAATTTGCATAGAATTGGAGCTTCTGTTGTCCACAAATTGAGTAGAAAGGGCAGTCAGCAGGCACAGCGGGTGGCAGCATACACCTTCCTGTGCTTGGAAAAAAGGAATTGGCTGAACAGCATAAAAGTAGCTGAAACAATGTGTTGCTTTGGATCCTTATTATTTAAAGTAACTAAGACAGTTGTCAGAGGAACAGCACATGCAATATTTAATACATATCTTTGTCTTTCTGCCTCTTATTCACCAGATGCTCCCATTAATTCCAGGTCTCAAGACTCAAATCTTCCAGGAACACATCTGTTTCTTCCTATTGCCTGATTAATCTTTTTTGGAGAGTTGAACAGAATGGCCTACAGAAACATCCCAGTTGAAGTGTGGTAAATAACCAGACAGCCCTTCTCACCCACTTTTCAGTTTGCAGATATCAAAAGGGGCTTTCTTCAAGCCTATACAAAACCATACAGGCACAGTATCTACAGCTGCTGTAACTCTCAGAGTAAGAGCAAGGATAAGAAGGTAGCGCTCAGATAAGGGTCCCAGATAAGCTCAGTAAAAACTGCTGAATTTTCTTCTATCAGAGATCACTGCAGTATTATGTATGGGGTCTTGAAGGCCAAGAGGAAGCACCTGCTCAGTGAGGCTCAGGATTGCTCAGATGTGTTGAAGATCCTCTTCATGGTGAATTGGGAGCTCATTGCACATTGTCTTGTTAGAAGTCTGAGAAATTCATGCTGTTTTTTCCAAAAAGTCACAAATACTATTCAACCGCTTGGCTGATTTTTTTTTTTTTTTTCTTCCAAAGCTGTGCCAGGCAACAGATGGATGAAAACCACACACATGTACATGAACTTCCAAGCAAAACTAACAGCTTCATTTGGGGAAGGAAAACTGCTCCCTGCAAGCCTGCCTTGGGAACCAGACCAGGCCAGACCAAGAGTCTTAAAACAATAATTTGCCATGGCTTTTAGAAATTAAACAGTTCAAAATCTCAGCAGCTGGCTTACTTTCTACTGATTTTTTTTTCCACATTACTTTGCTTAACTTCTCCCCCATTTGTGAATGTACTGCATTAGAATGTTTCACTTCTACAGACTGCATTTGCATTCTCACTGTGTTTCTATCTCAAAGGCTCCTGCTAACTATGTATTTGGAAATGGTGCTTTAGATGTTTAATAATGCTTTTTGGGTGGAATGCCTACATACCTAGTTGCTCCTGCCTGAAATCAGTAGTATTTTGAGAAGAGGTAAGAGAGAATCGTGTTCACTTTCCATCATTGTTTTTTCCTCAAAGGTTGTACACAGGTGCTGTACTTTTCTCCTCAGAGATCTGTGTTGTAGGATGTCTCCAAAGTGCCTGCCTTTGGTGGTAACCATCAGGCTGTCTCTACACTCCCCAAAACACTAAGATCTGAAAATAGTACAGTGTAAGGGATTTACCTTCAAGTTCCTCCCTTTGTCTGGCCTTACCGTAACTGTACAAACTCATGCATCTTCTGTGTGTCATCTGCTCCATGCTCCTGCAGGAATGTTTGTTATGCTAGCACCTCTCCCTTCCCACACACTGCTATGGAAAAACAGAACTGCGTTCCTGAACCAAGGACATGTTTGGAGTACATCATCGGTTCAAAACACGTACAAACTCCATTTCCTCCAGCCTTGCTCTGAGATAAGATGACTTGAACAGCATGTTTAGCTGAATGCATCCAAGCAAGCCAGATAAAGGACAGTTCCAGCCAAAAGCCACACAGTATGTTTAGCATAACATTATGTGCGAGTTAAATTCAGTTTATCCAGCAGAACTATCTGCTGTAACACAGTTGAGGGATTATAGCTGCCTTGCATCTTTCTGTCCTTGTCAAAGAAAATCCTTCAGAAAAACACTTTTGCACCACAGTGGGAATTTTAAGGGGAGGATATAGCCTCATTGCTGTGACCTCAAAAGAGCAGTTTTAAAACCAAAACAAAGTACACATAACCAATGGCATTTCAGAACTGCTAGTGAAGGACTGTTTCTACAAGCACAGATAAGGTATCATCTGTAAGGAGACTCTCCCAGTGGAAGCATGCCAACACAAGACAGATGTCACTTGGAAGAAATTTAAACCTGGCTGGTGAAGTTCAGAGTTCATTTTGGCTTAATTACAAACCGAGCACAGATTTATGCAAAGCAGATTTAGTACAATATGTAAAATTAATAGAAGGCCATCAAATACAAACCGGGGGTGCAGTCCCAGACTTCAGCTTTGCTTACCTCAGTTGTAAGCTCTTATGTCAAATAGCTTTGGATAAAGAAGTGAATGGACTGACTGCATTCAACTGCTCCGTTTAGAGTGATGAGGTTACTGTTACTAATCAGAAGACCTTACCATAGTTCTACATCCAGTGGCAGAACTGCATGAAATGACCTTGGCAGGCCTCAAACTTCACCTGCTCAGTTTCACTCCTTTCCTCTTGCTACCAGACAGAACCTGCATTAGGGAACAAATCTGCCCAAAATTTAACTGCCACTGTATGCTGGGTTTGAGTGACGAGATTTTTGGTAGCAGGGGAGGGGGCTACAGTGGTGGCCTGCTGTGAGAAGTTTCTCAAAAGCTCCATCTCCAAGTTGGACCTGACCCACCTCAGGCCAAGGCCCAATTAGCAAAGGTGACCGTGCCTCTGTGATAACGTATTTAACAAGGGGAACCTGAGAGGGGAAGGGGGGACCATGAGGACAAGTTACCAGGACACCTATGAGAACACTGAGGTCAGTGGAAGGAAGGAGGAAGAAAGGGGGAGGTGTGCCGGTGCAGATCACTGGAGGAGCAGAGATCCACCTGTGGAAGACCCCACACCAGAGCAGGCAGCTGCACCCTAAGGCCAGGATTCTGTGGGAAGAAGCAGCCCCCACTGCTGTTGTTTGGAGCTGGGAGAACTGCAACACGTGGGGGTGACCCATGCTGGAGCATCTCAAGAATGAAGCCTATGAGGAGTGTGGACGACTGTCTGATGTGAGATGCACCATGTGGAGCAGGAGAAGAACACTGAAGAGGGCTCCTCCATGACCTTGGAGGAATGACTGCACCCCCCATCCCCTGGGCTGCTGGGAAAGGAGGCAGAGATATGGGGAACAAACCTGAAACAGGAATAAGGGAGGGGTGGGGGGAGGTGTTTTAAGACATGTTAACACTTCTCGATGTCCCATTCTGTTAAGTGTTGGTTTTGTTAGTGTGTGAATTAAAGTGATCTTGGGTTTTTACCTGTGACCGTGTAAATGGGTGAAGTGCCTCTCCCTGTCCTTATCTCAATTCCTGAGCCTTGTTATTTCATTTTATTCTTCCCAGCACTGAGGAGGGAGGAAGGGGGGCAAGGAGTGAGCAAACAGCTGTGTGGTGCTCAGCTGCCCTCTGGGCCTAAACCACAACATACAGGCAGACTGGTTATTCTAGTCTAAGTATCTTCAACTGAGAAATGAAAGATCTTTCAAAGACTGCTGAATTATAAATCCTATGGATTTGCATCCATAAATCCATTGCAGGTCCTGTCCATCACAGGTAAAAGCTTAAGGGCTGTGACAGCTGAGCTTAAATGTTTCATGACAGCCTACACCTAATAGCTCCATCCTCTCCAGGAGGACACCTTTCCACCTTTCTCATGGCAGAGTGGGTGCTGGGCCTTCAGCTGCTCCCTTCCGCTAGTTACAAGACAGTAAATACAAGCTCATGACAAGATGTCAGAATACAAACTGAGGGGTTGCACACAACCCAAGTTGTAAACTCCCTTCAAGAGTTTGATTTTATCTGTGAAGAGTCCTTCTTCCCCCTTTTAGCAAGGGTTAAAAACCCCCTCAAAATATACAAAACAGCCTAAACCAAAGCATTACCAAACCCACATATTCCTTTTATAATGAGACTATGACAACGTAACAGCAAAAGCAGACTAACAGGGATTTCTGAAGTCTTCAATTCTTCTGCATAAAGACACAGTGCCAGAAATGTAACCCATTCCCTTATTTACAGTCATCATAAATCACATGAAAGCATGCACACTGGAACAACACGGTTCTAAACATTACTTCTTTAAAAAGTGCTGTACAGATGTGTTCCTTGAATACACACATTCCATGCTCTGTGGTGTGTGACTGAGCCACCCTTGTGCTAGGACACTACTGAACCCCATGCCTGAGCGTGCCTGGAGATAATGTTTTGGAAGGGACAGGGAGTAGTTTCTGGGGAAGCAGCTTATTTCCACACCAGTAGCACAGTGGGCTTTTGGCCCTTGGGTACACTGCCAGCCCCACAACAAGGCTGCTGTGTGTCATCCCTAGCACTGCCAAGTTCTGCAGTGGCCCTGTGAAATGCCAAGTCAAACTCCTGAAAAGAGACAATTCCCAGCTCCGACAGACATTTGGTACATGCTACATTAAAATTCCGCAAGGACTGCAAAAAATTTCTTGTAACTGGCACATGAATCTGGGCTAAACTCCACCATAGCCACAGCCCTCACTCTGAGCTGAGCACAGTGCTAGAAGAGCAGAACAAAGCAGAGCCTTTCTCAATACTGTCACAACTCCTAGTATGAATATGGCCAAGAGCAGCTCCAAAGCTGCAATACTGCTGCTGACCTCCAATTCCTGTAGGAACAGCAGGCACTGAACTCATCCTCTTATACTCTTAGCAGCAGATTGGCTCTTTAAGTCAGGCTGCAACACACACAAAAGCAAAATCCAGGTATTTGGGCTGTGCTGCTGTTCAAATAATCATCCATCTCCTTAAAGAGAGTGATATGATTTTGATAATCCATCTACCATTTCTTTTTCTTCCTTCACTCGCCAGGTTCAGGCCAATGCTAGCTTAATATATCTTATCTCAGAGAATGATAAGTAAGCCAAATGGATGATCATCCGATCCAAAAGCTATGAACAGTTTGTCTTTAACAACTGGAGAAAGGTTGAAATTATCTACATTCTTTTGAAGCAGTTCTTCAGGTTGGATACACAATTCCGGTCCAGGAGAGGACACAGGGTTTAACTCCTTGGTTTCAGGGGAGGCATTCTTCTATTTGCCTCAATATTGGACCAATTCACCAGCATAACATTAACATACTCTAAATAGCATGATCTTCAAATGGCAAAAGCAGGATCCATCAACTGAAGTAGCCTTTGCCACGATGCACGTTATCTACCAATGCAGGTACAGCAGAAACAGTCTCACAAAAGCTTTAAGGAACATCCATCATCACTGTAGCACAGGCTTAATGAAATCTGAAGTTTTACACCTGAGGCAGAGCTTGTGGAAAACAATCTATCCTTAAAGATCTGGAGAAACCTAAACAAAAAGGTACATAACAGATTTTAAAATATGATATATCTAGTTATTAACAGCAAAACATTTATCTCAAAGTGTAGCATTATAGTAGCAGTAAATGGACTAGCACTGCATATGGTGAGCTAAAGCACAGTATGAAAGACAAAGCCATACTGTCCATACTAAAGAAAACGTTACAGGTAGTATGAACACTTTGAGAACATAAGATATTGGAAAAACAAAGAGAGTACGACATACCCTATATTCCTATAGTACTTATCAAAGAAAATGAAACAGATGAGCCTCTTTTCCATCACGTCATTTTCACCTAAATCTCATTATTAATTAATAAAATACATTTTTCTCTCAATTGTAATTAATACATTCCTGCCATACCTTAATTGTCCTCTTGACTAAATTTTTTTTTCCTTTAAAAAACAACCAGATACATTCAGACTTATGGACATTTAACTGGGCTCCAATACAGCCACATTCTTCCTGTTCCAAGACAGTAATTTTCTTTCAGGAAAAGAGGCAGGTGGTGTGGCATTCTGCCCTGGAACCCACTATCTGGTTTTCAAGCAACATTCACCTTCCACAGATGAAGTCCCTACCATTTGTGAGTTAGAGCTCATCACCCCTAAAAACCATGGTTAAAGGCAGTGTCTCCCTAATTACTAATCTTTACATCCCAGGAAACCAATGTGTTGCTCCACAGAGAAGCTATTTAATTAACTTCCTATATTTTATGTGTCACAAAGATATTTTTTCAATTAGAAATCACTGAGTATATACATTCCTTAATAGACCCTTATTTACAACAAAGACAACTGCAAAGGAGCTAAACATCAACTAAGTAGATCAGAAACGTCTGTCTTAACCATGCTGTACAGAGGCATGCTTCTTTTACCTGCACATTTCACCTTAGGTTGATTGCACATATGCTGACTGTAAATCTCTTCCTCTTTCAGTGCAGATCCTACGTGACTGCACCAGTTTTCCAAGACTTGATCTGCTGATCTCAGTCTACATTCCTATTCTTCAAATTGTTTTGTCACAGGAGAATGTCCTTCTTCAATACTTCTATATACAGAGACTAGATATTTTCAAATATTGAATTAGCACTTCGAAAGTTTCAAAGAATTAAAAAAATCGATAAGCAATAGAAAAATACATTAAGAGTTTTTAGAAAGCTGCCTTTTCCTCATATTGCTAGAATTAAAAAGTTAAGTAGTGTAGAACTAATTGTGTGCCATATTCTTAATGAGTTTTATTATGCAAAATATTCCAAGATCACTGTTAAGCAGACATTAATATCCCAGTCCATAACGTTTCAGAGCCTGCATTAAATGTAGATCAAAGATAAAAGACTATCTGCTAATAAAAGCTGTGTGACTCAAGATAACTACCCATCCTACTAATGCTCCACAGCAATCTACAGTCCAAGAGAAAATTTTCATTGAAATCTACTGCTGCAAATGTGAAGTTGTGACTTCATCACAAAAATATGAAGAGGCAGAAAAGCTGCTACTGAAGTAATTAAAAAACCTGGCACTTCTCATTTGGGTTATAAAACATATGTTTTCTGGCTGAACAGGTAAATACTTCCGTTTACTAAGCGTGAATTATTAGATCTTTTAGTTAAGGTGCTGCATTAAATAAAGAGGATGGGATAAACTACTAATATAATAAAGGAGTAAAAAGAGAAACTGATCTGCTTGAGCTGAACAGCTGGACTCTGTAGAATGATACTACATATAGGCTACCAAAACAGAGTAGGTGAAATAAGTAGTCAGCATGAACTTACCTTGGCATTTAAATTTTTTTCCTCATTATTCTATCTTCAGTACTTGCACTTGCCCATCCCCTTTCAGGGTATTCTGACCTATGTCCTTCCAATAAACTGCTACAAAGTTTAAGCCTACAAATAAAAAAAAAACCCCAAAGACTAAGTGGCTTTATTATGGTAACCTTTTTATACTAAATACAGCTACAACCTGTTATTTACTCTAGTACAGATGATAACAGAAGAACATAAGGACAGAATTTTACCACACAACATATAAATATTGACTAATGCATCCTTAAGAAGAATAGTAAAAAAATAAAATAAAAATCTGTTTATAATGAAAGCTTGGATTGAAATACAGCAATAAAACAATCATGCTTCTAACTTAACATGGAAAAAAAGCGCTCCTGATTGATGAGCTGCGTTTTATACCTTTCCAGCCTGAAGTCTGTATCTCTGCAAGTTTTGCCATCAGGAAGAAAGAAGTTGGGTTTTTTCTGTTTCTGATTGTTCCATTCTGAAGAACTACTGGCTGAAATCGGGTCACTGCATAAAAACAAGTAACATTGTTGTCAGCTACAAAACAAATTAATCTCTAAGGAGACAGAGAGGAAGCTTTCAGCTCCTAGGGCGAGGAAGTGAGAGGCTAGTAACAACTGCAGGGAACAATTTGGTAAAATGCTATTGCTTTCCCCATAAGACAAAGACATTGAAAGGGGCTCAATCATCTTCCAGCATCATATAATGGCAGAAGCAATAGAAAACAACAGATGGAGAGTCAGACTGGAAAAAGCCAAGGAAATTCAAAGAACAAAAATAACAACCACATGTTGGAGGAAATGGAAGGAGGAAAAAAAAAAAAAAAATCAAACCAAACCAATAGTATTAAACAGTGAAAGAAAAGAAAGATAATAAAAGCAACAGACACCTTCACAGCACAAGCAAAACACAGAAAGAACATAATAATCATGATGGTATTTACCTTGTTATTTCTATACCATGTTGTACTGTCATTACTTCATCATTTTCACCAAAGGCTTCCCACTCTGAGCACTTTGAAAAAGTCTCCTGATGTCCTGATTCAGTAAGACTAGAAAGAAAGTGAAAAGGCCTGAAACTACAGACCTATGTAACACAGTTCCTCTTAAGTCTTCTGAAGGGGGCTAAATAGACAGAAGAAACCATACCTGTATAAACATTTTTACTATGTTAATGTGAAAAGTCTACGAAAACCTAAAAAACTTAAATTATTGTTCCAGCTTTGTTGTGTTCTAACAAAATTTTGTACACAGTTAAGCCATGCACTTCACATAGCCTATTATTTCTCATTTATAGAAGAATTTCTTATGCAGCAGCTAGAAAAGGGGAAAAAAGGAAATATGATTAAGACCAAGTGGTAGAGGAATAGTTTAATTCCTAAACAACTTAGAATAAAGGTGTTGGCCTGAAAAAACTCTACTCTTCTGTTATCTATTTTTGAACATTAACCTCACTCTCTACTCTGTCCCAGTCTCAGGCTGGGTGACCAATTCCTTGTAGTTCCAGCAAGCATTTTCTTCCATATCATCTTTCATAAGGCAGGGAAAAGCTTAATCAAAATACACAAAGCTTCTTTCACATTCCTACATGAATACATATTCTCTATAATACCTGTGGCAAACATAACATGGTAATAACTAAATTGGCAGCAAGTTTCAGTATTTGCTGGCAGATTTAACGAGTGCATGCTGGGCTCCATTCCCTTGCCATAACATCCATCAACTTGTACACACTCTGTACATCAAAAAGCAGAATGCAGTGCACGTAAGAGGTATGAGAAATAACTATGGCAGATGTCTAACAATTTCAGAATTACAATTTCTGAAGCAGAAACCATGCTCCATGAGAAATGAAGCCCACATTAGTGTTGTCTAAATCTACACAAAAAAACATAACCTCTGTTGTGTCTTCTGACACTGAAGTTTCTCTACCTTTGTAATGGACCACTGAAAATACCTGCTATCATACAACACAATTATTCTGACAGCATTTTCCTTCCTTATTAAATTGCACACACATTTAGATAGAATTAAAGCTGTTAACAAACGGATGGGTAAATACCAGTCACATTCCAAAAGTCAATTCATAGTATCAATGAATCTCTGTAGGGAGAATCATTTCATACCTTTCCAGTGTGTGGTACATATGCACATAATGGTTTTTGCTCTTTGAAACCACAGAGGAGTCAGAATTGTTTCTTTTTCTGCGTTTCCATACTGGAGAAGAATCAGGAGAACACGGACTATAAAAATAAGACACAGATTTTACACACACATTTCACTTGTGTTTAAATGCTTAGCCAAGTTCTGCAAAATGCACATGCTACATAGGAAGACTTCTTTTGAGGTATGATTCTTCAGTCACAACAGAGTAACATACAGAAAACGGCTCAAATTTTGGTAGTTTTGGAAAGCAAACCCAGTCACAGCAGCAGAAGAAACCTGGAAGCAGAACCATTTTAAGCTCCACACATGTGCCCAGATCAAGATATCTCAGTAAACAAGGAAGTGCATGAGGTGCTTCACTCTTAGTGTCCCCGCTGTTCAACAGACAAGTGTAACACTGTTTATTAAAGTCACTCCTGCTTCTGAAAAAGGTATCCTACTTTCAACACTTGCCAACAGTGGTTAAAGAAACCTCAGTACTCTACTGTATAAACAAAGAAGCTGAAAGAACACTGTTTTTCTTCTGTTAATCATGTCAATACAACTCTGTAATACTGGTAATTTTTCCACATTCAATGGTCTGTACAGTAATCCAGTGATGGATTACATTTAACAGCACAAGTGCCAAACTCCAAAGCTGAGCATTAATGGCTCTCCCTCACTAAAGATTTCCTACAAAAAATTGACAGCATCAACATGTATTGAATTATTTCAGTAAGTTAACCACAGATGTTTTATCTCATACCTCTCTGGTATGTAGTAAGTCTGTCTGTAATAGTCTTCACACTCATTTCTCTTCTGCTTTTCGTCAAACACAAAGGAGCCAGAAACGTCCTGATCTTTGCAGAACCATTCCTGGGAACTGCCTGATGGCTCTGTACTACTAAAAACAGGAGAGAGAAAAAAAAAATAAAAGAAAGCATTTAAAGTACTACCTATCTGGCTTACTGCTCCAAGCAGAAGACAGTTAAACTGCAGTAATAATTAATAGTTAAATTTATATGACATTCAAATGGTGAAAACAACTGCATCTTCCACTGTAGGTCACTTACAACACAGCTAGAACTATTAACACAATAAGGTTAGAGAGCTCACAGAATTCCATTCACTTTTTTCCTCCCAATTTACTAGTTCAAATCTTGTAAAGTATTAGGTGGTGTCCATCAGTAGAGCTACCCTTGTTAAAGTTCTGAAAATATAAAAGAAATTCTGTCTTGAGCACAGTTGCCACTCTCCTGCAGAGAGCACAGAAATCTCTCTCTAATCCTCTAACAAGGATCCTATTGCATGAGAATGGTGGTTCCACTGACATCAGAAAAGGGAAAGATGGAAAGCTTATCAAGGTCAAGGAACAGTAATCACTGAATTTTTGCTTATGATTACTCCTTTCTGGAAAAATAACTTTACTTTGTGCTCACCAGTGTAAACACACAGTACTACTACTGTCTAAAGTAGTACACTCCAAATGCCTTCCTACCCAAAGTGCCATGCTGGAGATGAATTTAGACTAAATAACGGAAATATCTTGAAGACTAACAGAATTCAACAGGAAAATAAGGCACTGAAGGAGATTCCCTTTTCTGAGCCTCATCTACTCTCTTGCTCCATTAGGAATGCTCTAAAGGAAATAGGGTCTTCCTGAGAAGCAAGAGACACGCTGACTTAATTCACCCATACACACACTGGCTGCAGATCCCAGGTTTCTTCAGTAGGAGGATCCCAGGCATGCAGTGCTATCTTCCACAGCCTGATCTGCTGGTCCCAGGACCTACGGCTATACTTCTTAAATTTGTTGGGAGTTCTAGGATGGACTCCTGGTATTCGCTGATTCCTGTAAATAAACAGTAACATTTATTGCTTCAGAACATGATTATTAAAAAAAAAAAATCCTCAGTCCATCAGATCACACAGGCACCAGTGGCCTAATAAATAAAATTTTTGTATTTTTATACACTTAACTGAAATGTGTATATTCTAAACCATTGTCAAAACCAGACCACACAAGCAACAATAACATGCTGAGTCAGATGAAAAGTTCATCCAGTCCAGCACTCTGACAGTTTCCAAAACTAGATCCCTACTGACCATGGACAAATATGAAACAGAAGCAGAGCAACTTGTACCCCTTCAACACCATCCCAGCCTCCAGCTACTTCTATCTCAGTTTTCCAAAGTCAGGTGCAGCTTCTTTGTGTTTAGTATTGTACTGAGTCTGGCTGGAATGGAGTTAACTTCCTTCGTAGCAGTCTCTGTAGTGCTCTGTTTTGGATTTATGGCTGAAATAGTGCTGATAAGACACTAATTTTTGGCTATTGCTGAACAGTGCTTGCACAGCTTCAAGGCCTTCTCTTTGTCCCAGTCTGTCCTGTCCCCTCCCACAGCCACTAAGTTGAGAGGGGAAATTGCTAGGACAGGTGACTCAAATTACCCAAAGAGGTGTTCCACCTCATATAATTTGATGCTCAGCAATAAAACCCGGGGCAGAGGAAGAAGGGGAGGTGTCTTCCAAAGTGGCCACTGTTCAGAGACTGTCACAGCACCTGTCTGCTTGTGGGAAGTAGTGAGTGATGACATTTGCATCACATGCTCTTTTCTCCCTTTCTTTCCTTCACCTATTAAATTACCCTTACCTCAATCCATCACTTCTCTATTTAACTGTGTTCCTTCCCTATACCATTGGAAGGGGAGGGAGCACATAGCTGTGTGGGTACTTGGCTGCTGGCAGGGGTCAACCCACAAGTTTTCTTAAATTAACATTTATTCTGCCATTATCCATGCATTATTACAATGGGGATTGCTATAATTCTAAACAGCATTTGTCTTTTGGGAGTATAGAAAACAAAGACCCCCACTCTCTGGGTAAAATGTAAGTGATATGCCTTTACACTGAATCTACACCGGGTAGACACTGTAACAATGGTGTTGGGGAACACCCCATGGCTGGAAGTGCTGTTTCTCAGAGGGTATCCCACACCCAGATCCTGTCCACTACAGATTACTGGAGAGGTCTTTCAAACTGTATCTTCAGTACAAAATAATCCTGTTTATAGTCCTTCCAAACTGGTGTCAGCTTTATGCCGGGGGGATGCGTATCACAATAATGTTTTAAAACACACCAAATACCCTGGTCTCGAGTGGTTCCTCCTACCAGCTTCACAGATCAATGTACCTGGCCATAACACTTTTTGTAAGATAAAAGAGATCCCTGCTAAGGAACAGTATTATAAACTACCCTGTTAAAATGCCACCCAGAACATTCTTTTTTAAAAAAACTTATCCAATGCTTTTTCTGAATGTTGTTCTCATCTTTCCCTATTCTCCACCTATGATTTAACTGATCACAGCACAGCTATGTAAGTGCCAGGCATCATCGTAAGCCTGGCCACAGTCCTACCATTGATGACAAAGCAACAAGCAAAATTACAATTCACAAAGCAATTCAAGGCTCTTTGAAGAAAAAAAGTATTACTGAAAATGTGATGATGATATTGTGTGATATCTGTGATCATTTACAGTATCTGTTGTTGATTTTCAGTCATCTAGTCTAATCTTTCAAGTTTTGCTCAACAAGCTTGCAGTGTCCACTGCACTTGGCTGGCAATTTTCACAAGACTCTTACAGCTAGAATCCATAGAAAGCTGGCAACTTAAAGTGGCAAGCCATTTAGAAAAACATCTCTAAAAAACAACCCTCAAAAAAAACCAAGAACACAAATGCACATCCACACATTAGTACAAACTAGCTTCTGAATCTTGACAGCTCTGCAGTAAGCAGATGGGGCTGGCTAAGAAACCTTCATTTAAGTGTCACAATTCAGACTCTGAAGCCCTAAGTGAAAGCAAGAAATACAGGTTTTGATTTGTTAGTTACTGATGAATCACTGAAGACTGGTTTCCCTTACCAACACCTAAATGCGAGGCTTTAGTCAATCCTCAATTCAAGGCTGCCATTTCCTAGTATCAATTAACTTCACACTGACCTAGCAACACAGTCACCAGAAGCATCACAGGGAGATGATTAATACAGTATTTAAAGTTGCTACTAGCAACAGAAACACATAAAGGGAACATTCAGTTTTCAATTTTTCTTATCTACATTTGCTCATATGCAGAAAATAGCTGGCTTTGCTCTGATAAAAATCAATTTAAGTTTTCTTCACTTACTGTTCATATAATTTTAAGAGAACTAAAGCTGTGTGCTGATCTACCCACACACCAGGAACAAGTATGAATTTATTTGGAAATGTGCAACATAGTACAACTTACTTCGGAACTTCTTTAATGTATCTGTCATACGCAAGGGTATTCTTTCCAAAATTGATCTGTTTTTGTCTTCTCCTCAGAACCACTTCATCTGTCTCCCTTTCAGCTGGATTAGCAGAACCACTTGAAACAGAACTTAAAAATAGAATTAAGTTGAAAAAAACCTTAATAGCTTTACAACAAGTTACATAGACACATACTCTAGAACTGCATGTATTCTTACTCTGATAGGCAGCAAGCACAATTCTTACTTCACTAAAGAAGTGAAAGTGGTGCTAATCAAATGAGTCACACCACAAGAGTAGGTTTTGCAAGTTCATGCAATTGCTCAGGTTTGTAACAAGTAAATATACACCTGAGGGTAATGGCACTAGAGCTGCCTTACTAGAAGCTTACCTAGTTCAACAACAAGCAATAAAATGCTACATGATTATTGCACGTATGTGTAACAACCTCCTAATATAAATATGAAAAAGCTTAAAGTCAATAAAACAAAGATGGGTAATATAAAGGACTCTAGCATGAATGATCTAATAGCCATTTCCCTCTCCAAGCCTCAAAGGGTGGTTTTCATTTCTCCTTTCACTATTCCAGTATCTTCTCTTACAGAAAGTCGTAATGAATATGCAATTTAAGCTGAAAAAGAGAATCTAAAATGATCATACAAGTAGCTTTTGAGATAAGACTTCTCAGTGCTAATCTCCCCTTAAGACTTCCTTCAGGCTTGATCTGAAACAGCCTGGCCGCATTTCAAATCTTTATTAATGCATGTGAAGTAGTCAGAGATCAGATGGCTATTGCTAAAACCAACACAACAATAGTTAATAATTGTTCAATACCTACGTTGTCATTTTTTTATTTGATGTCCTCATTGCCTTGCCTTCTTCAATTCTACCTTCCCAGTCGGGGCAACTAGAAAGAGGCCTAGAATATTCTGGTGGTGTAGAGCTGGAAAATAATGAGATCTCAATATGAACATTTTTTGCTCATAACATATTTAATGAGCAGAAACTTCAATAGTGGACAAAAACAGCTCCACAACTGTAATACCATGGCCATGCCCCTACTCTCAAACAAACAAAACCACATCAGCTTAAGTCACCTTCAGCAGTGATGCAAGATCATCAGTTTTACTTTCCAGGGAAAGAAAAGAGTCATGAAATTAATGTCATGTCAGAACACAAACCTGACAACCTCTTAGAATACTTCCAGTTCAGCCACTGTGAACCGCTCCCCCTACTACCTGAGGACCTTCTCAATACTGCAGTTCCATCAAAAAGCACAATTTGTGAAATTACTTGAGGTCAGACTCAGTCTAGCCACTACTCTGTGTCATCAGCTAAGGACTTGGCAAAGGACCAGGGAGATGCTTAAGAAATAGAAAAGTGCCCATCACATGAGCAAAACTAACATTTTGTCAGACACCATCACACCCCAACATCATCAAAAATGTAAACTCTCCTGTGTAAAGCCTAAAAGGGCGTTGGGAAGCTTTTAGTTAAATAATCAGTTGGATCACTGATGTTCTCTGAGTGGAGAAACACCAGGCTCCTCATTAACTTAAAAAACGTAACGAATTAAAACCGTATAATGCTGTAATATTCTGAAGTGCTGAAAACTTCTCCTTTCAGTGTTAATGCCTCAACATTTAATGTAATACAGAAGTAGATTTAGCTTATAGTCTTACTTCCCTAAATGGTTTCACATCAACACGAAATTACCATTCATGCCGCAATGTAATTTTAACAGAAGGATTCCACACTAAGAAGGAACATATCTGCTCAGCAAAAAACACAAAATGCTGCTAGCACATCCAGTCTGACTCAGTCATAACATACTGTTCATATTTATGACAGCATCAGACATCAAAACCAATCATGAATACAAGGGCTTTCCTAAGCTCTTCAAAAGATTCATGCGTTAACTGAAGGATTGTTAAACACACCATCAGAAATGACAATCACCTTCATACAATGTAATACTCTGATAACGTATAAATTATATATAAAGAAGCTTTCATGTGCCCTCAGTAAAATATTTCATCTCTTTTAACTTACATTCTACTCCATTTTCTGCAATAACCAAGCACTCGCCACTTTTCATACTTCCTGTCAGACATTAAGAAATCTCAACAACTTCTTCCACCTTAAGTCTTTAGTCTAGAATATGCAAAAGCAAAGCAAAATACTCCCAGGACTACCTACCCATAAAATTTGATCTCATCCCAAATTGTCCTCAGTACTGGACTACAAAAAAAAAAAAGGGTATTTGCTACAAACTGTAGTACAGCTGAATATACTGAGTGCACTCAAGTAGAGAGAGAAACATCATGGTTGCCCAAACTTACAGATAAAGATGCATAAGCAAAACATAAAAAGTAACAGCACATTCCTTCAATGGGAATTTTATACTTGAAGACTTCAGCAACAGGGCTTAAAGCACTGCCTCAGTATAGACCACTTCTCTCTCATATGGAATATTTGCTAATATTATGGCATGTATTTCAATTAGACAAACTGAATGGTCTGAATGGTCTGTTCCTGCATAATGTAGATAACATTTGCTAACTCTGTGCTACTGTAGAAAACATTTAATTTAATCACATCCAAGGTTTTGTTGTATTCCTAAAGAAAAGTGTGCAGCAAAGTGAAGATTTAAACAAACTTCACATTTATTCCTTACCTCTCTAGCTCCTGGTCGATATGTCCACACTGATACTCATCAAACACCGAAGAACCTGAATCATTCCAGCTTCTACATTCCTGTTCTTGATGCCAGCAGTGTGGATGTTGCACAGAACTAGAAAACAAGAATTTTCATCAGAAATCAAGTCACTGAACACTGCATTTATAAACCAAATATGGACAATCTGAGTATCATCATTTATAGTTACAAAATGCTGATTTGGTATAGATATGTGATTTGCATCAATTTATTCAGGCGACACGAACTTAACAAAGGTGTTAGACAATGCAAATGCTGAGAAAAGGTCTTTGACTAATGCAATTAAGACACCAGAATATTAAAATAAAACATTAATATTTAGGACCAAAAGTATACCCTTCCTCTATTTGCAAACAAAAAGGGGGAAAAAAAACCCAACTGAGGACTATCACCAGCTTATGGAGCTGCTGACATTCCTGTCAGCAATACATTTGACATTTATATACCATTCTATCCAGTACTAAACTTGTGGAAGAGGCAAATACAGAAACACCACTTTAACACAACAAAACAGCATGTCTAAGGACAAGGAGATCAACCACTTATGTGGAAACACTTTTATACAGGAAATTCTTTACCAGAGACTGCTGCAGAGCCCTCACAAATAAGCATGGGGCGATGAGCTAGAGTGAAGTGCTTGCAACATGCTGGAAGGAGAGCCAGAGATTGCTTAAGGATTAAGAATTATCTACATTTTCTGGTGGCTTTCACATCTTAAATGATAGGTTACTAAACAAAATACCATCACAGCGCCTACTAACAACAACAGGCCTGGTTCTGGGCTAAGGACCACACCCACAGATTCACCACCACCTGCCTGAGTGCTCCTATATTGCAGACTCCAGACAATACATACACTGTTGTTCTGTATGTGAAAGTAAACATACCGTTCTGTACGTGCAAGGTCTCTGCACTTTTAAAGTCAACAAGTGAGAGGGAAGGTTTTGTTATTTTAAACCTGGATTAGCAACCTGTGTTTCCTTTCCCTTCCTCCTCCACCCTGACTGGCTTTGGGAGCTGCCTGCTCCCAGAGAGCTCGAAGTTACTAACACACAACACAAACAGCTTGCTCTGAATCATGGATCTAGGCAAAAGGACACTTTCAGCACATACAGTTTTTGCAAAGGCAGTGAACGAATAAAAGCTTTCTCTAACCACCCTCAACAATTACTGAATTTAAAGACTTGAAAGGAAAAAAAAAAAAAAAAGGCACACCACCTAGCATGCCTTAGGTACAACACTACCTGAAAGTCTAGGGAAAAATGCTAACAGAAAACGATGCCTTTCAGATATATTCCAGTATTTCTTAAATCTCCAGTGATCTGCACTCCCCGCCCACTTCAGCGTCAGCCTGAGGGCAAGCCCTCGTTATCCCCAGCCGCACTCCAGGCATTTCACCCGAGCGCACACGCTGTTGCCTGGGCTGCGGCGCATTTTTCACTCCCAGCCCAACTCTGCCCACATCCACAGGAGAGCAAAGCAATCCCGGCAAGGAGACTCCCTCAGCCTGGGCGCCTGGCAAGGAGGCGTTTGGTGGAGGGCGGCAAGCTGACGGCAGCTGCCTACCCCGCCACCGCTGGCGGGGACCGAGGAGGACGCGGCTGAAGCGGGAGGAAGGTGGACGCCGCCGACCCTGCGACCTCCCCGCCGCCAACCCCGCAAGAGGCGGTCTGGGACAGGCAGCGCCACACCCCCGCCCGCCCCGGGGGCTCTAAAGACGCCCTGAGGGAGCGATCCCGCCCCGGCCCTCCGCGGCAGCTCCCACCTGCGCGGCCCG